GCTTCTGAAAAACTCAAAAAGTAACAAATCAAAAACCAATAGCATAAGCAAAGGTAAAACATCAAAAAATGTATTACCTTCTGGTTCAACGTTTGGGGGGCTGACGCCCTGGAAAGAAGGTGGTTTATCCATTGGTTGTGATGAGGATTCTGGGACTGAAGGTTTCTCTTTAAGCGTAGTCCTTTCATCAGCTGGTTTGGATGACGCAGCCTCAGCAGAGAGTGATGGAGCAGGAGCTGCCAACACCAAAGCCTTTGAAGGAAAGGCTGAGTTTTCCTGAGAAATCCGAATAAACCATCAACACATAGAAAAGTTTTAAGTATAGAAATGTATGCGTGTGAGTAAACTAATTTAATTACCTTTCTTCTGACAATGAGAGGGGTGTCATCATTATCATTTTTCAAAATGGAAGATGCTGAGGCTGACCGTTTGTGGCTTGGGATACTTTTAGATGCAGTAGGCTTGGCAGGAAGGGAAGTAGATGGACGAACAGACTGTTTAGCACGAGCAGAAGAGGAAGGACTCCTAATGGACACAAGGGTGACCAAAACAGGGAAAGTGGAAGAAATGTCCGGCTGATCCAGTGAATGGAAAGCGCAATTGGCATCAGTTGCAAACAATCTGCGCTGCACTGATGGCCAGAGTTGTTCAAAAAGGGGATGGGTAGCATGGCTAGGATTGAAAGGAACTAATGAAAAGTTACTCGTCAAAAGAATATTGTGAGCATTTATAGCTTCTGCCTCTGCCTTATTTATGATGTAGAAGCAATCTATCAAGTTTCTTGAATAACAAGGGGGAACAGGCCGAGTTTGGTCGAAACCAAGTTGACGAGCAAAAAATTGGGGAGCATATATTTCAACCCCATCTTTGGCATTAGTTCCGGTCAATATCATGGAACAACTCCCTCCCGATCAAAAAATTGAACCCAAACGAGCAGAGAGGTGCTCGCATTGTCCAGGGTAGATGGGGGATGAACATAATCAGGAGTTAAAAAGGGAGGAAAAGGAAAGAAATAAGGAATTGAATTCAAAGTATAAAAGAATGAAAAAATATCCCTTTTGGACATATGTACAGGGCTCAGTGGGTCAATAGCTAGCCCATAGCAACTAGCAGAATGAAGGGAAAGGGATAGAGCACCAAGTGATGGAAAATAGGCTCTCAACCACATTTGAGTGAACCAAAGAGGCCCACTGCCAGTGGGAGATGCACCATTCTTCAATTGAAATTGGAGAGAAGCCATGCCTCTATAGAGGGCGGCCAAAAAGAAAGAGCACAAATTCAGAAGCCTACCACGCGTCAATTCGTGCGCTATAGGTAAATAGCTCATAGAAGGCTTCAAACTTGGCACACACAGAATATATTTACAAAGCCAAATCTGAAGAAAGGCCACACGATCAGCATGAGAAGGCTTAGCTCTCGAGTGATTATAACAGCCTTGCAGACTTGAGTAGGACTCAGTGAGTTTTTTTGTTAAATTTTGGGGCGATACCAGAAATCAAAATACCGGGGAAAATGGTATCGCCCAAAGGTGGCAAATTTATTAAGGCCCCAACATTCCTTAAAGTAATGGACATGGGACCAAGAGGGAAAACAAAAGTATTATACTCAGAGGACCAAAAGTTTAATACAATAGGGAAAATCGCTGAATCAAAAATAGGGGGTTGAAGAGAGATTTCTAGCAAATCAGAAATCCTAGCATTATAAAAAATTGCCTTGGTAGGACCATGGTTCACAAGACGAGCATACCATCTACGGAAAACAACATCAGATTTTGGCCAAGTGCGAATACCTCTTTCGCGAAGCGGCCTCAGTGACAAAGAGTTTAGAAACGGAGGGCCTTGAGTATAAGGGAACAGCTGGCCCATCGCCACTTGTTCGACGGCCTCGGCGTTATTGAATGAGGGACCTAGATAGAACTTGTTGAGTTCAGCATTGGCTGGTGCAAGGAAGTTAGGAGTTATATATGGTCGAGTGAGGAGTTTCTGGAAGTCTTCGAAACTGAAAGAGTCACTAGATTGGGATTGTGAAGCAACCATTAGGAACGCAATAAAGCTTTGTTGAAGTTTGCTCGAGAAACGAAGCAGAGAAGCAAGAAGATGAACAATAATATTGCGAGAGAGAAGCGCGAAGCAATGAAGCGTGATTTAGTCGTGCGATGAAATTGCGTATATTTGGAGGTTATAAGGGTTTGCAACGTCGCACCTTTTCAGGCTATGGAAGAAAATGATCATTAAAATTCTTGGGAATTTCAAATGTTTTTGGGAAACAGAAAGTGAATATGGCAAAAATTAATAATTAGTATTAATTCTACCATATTGGAGGGTAATTGTTGACATGCTAAAAGTGCAGCCCAATTCAAATAGCCCAAAGAATAAAGTCCAACTGGACAATTCAGGATTAAGGCCCAAATAGGGTTATTAATGAATGCAGTGGAAGCCCACGAATGCGGTAATACCATCGCCCAAACTTACAAGACGCCCAGGATTTGAGCGAATGAAGTGCCTTGCAGTCACCCAGAGTTATGACCCTGTTCTCGCCCAAATTTTCGAATCGCCCAGGATCTTAGAAAACATGAGATGTTATGGTTATCCAAAAGTACAATTATCGAAGCAGTTATTGGGTAATCTTATCACGTTCCACGATTCAAGGATGTTCAGTTGAGGACGGTTGAACGATAAAGAGTAATGGTAGCAGTTAGAGACGGCAGTTCCACGATAAGTTAGTCACCATGAAGAAAGTGGGCAGTTATAAAGTAATTAAGCGATTTCTAAGCGGTTGATCACAAAGAGAGAATTAAAGGTATATAAAAGGAAGAAAAGACATAGAGCAAAGGACCGAATCAAACACTCTCAAACAAAGAATATGTAATTTCAATTTCTTAGTTTAGACTTAAAACATTTCTTTTCAGTACTCGTGTGCTTGCGCCCCTTGGAGGTATTTCTGTTTAAGTTCCAATTGTAAAGTCATTGCCAATAAAACACCCCTTTTTGAGACTTTGTTTCAAGAGGTTTGTCCCTTATACAATCGTCTGATCCCTTTTTAATTGTTAGCGACCACCCGCACGAAACACCATTTACATATTTCGTAGAATCCACAACTACTATTGGCTTATCCACCGTTCATTCTATTAACTTAGAAGGAAATCCAACTGAGAGGCAAGAGATATAGTGTGATAAAATTAATTAGCAACTTTTTGCTCTAATCTGTGTAATTTCGCATACAGCAAAAATTTTAATTTTGTTTCCCTCGAGGAGCGCTTTGTTTTTTGAATGACAAGGCCATAAGCATGCATAATGATAAATCTTATACCGAATAAATTTGCAAACAATGAAACCATAAGGGCTTAAATTATTCCTACCCCTTTCCCTTGTTCACAAGGGGAAAAAAGAGGCTAAATTTACATATTACGCTTTACTATATCAAAACTAATTACATTTTAAGTATTTTGAAAATTATTGATGAGCTACTTAAAACGGGCTCGAATTATCAACAAGATATATTCAAAATATTCATAAATCAAGAATAAATCACTTAATTTGAGAATTAGCATTCAAAACTCAAACTTGAAATATAATATTTTTTCAACAATCTCCTTAACAAATAAAAGTTATTAAATTGCCAGCAAATTTCTTCCCTACAAACATGAATGTCAATGGTAGTGAAAGGTTGTTAAACACATACCAACAGACATTCAACTCCCCTTTTACCATTTTGTTATTTCAATTTGCAATTCTTTTATTTAACTCAAATGAAGTAAATAAATAAAGTAAAATCTGCACGAACGTAAAGTTCTATTCAACACTATTATATAATAGAATCAAATGACTCAATTATCAACAACATACATTTGATCTTCAACTAATAACAAGCTCAGCATGAACTTGGACTCGACTTAATTTACAAGGATAAATGTTGAAATTTGTTGTTCAAAATCAACAATTAGTGTGTATGGAATGAGATGGGAGTTGGCTAAAAATGGGTCCAAGTTTATTACCATGTCCAATTTAACAATCAAAGGATCAAATTATTGTTCTTCATTCATATTCATATCTTTATTGTGTTCTTTACAGTTTTGGTGGAAAATACTTTGTGTTTTAGTATTTTCTACAACAAGGCTTGTTATAATCTCTTCAAACCATTTGTCGAAACACCCTTAAACATCTCATAAACACTGAAGAGAAGGCAAATAACATTTGAGAACAACAATATCGTGTTTGAGCCTTTGAAATTGTTCTCGACAACATTAGTGACTTCTTCATCTCGTTGTTGTATTTTTTCTTAATTTTGTTGTTTCTTTTCCATTTCCCAATTGTTTTCCAACAATAAATGCCATTACTAAACAATAGCTCCCCCTAGCTTTACTTTCTATCATCATCATCATCATGAATGTTAGCAAAGAAGGGATCTTTGAGAGGAGCGGAAGCTGAAGGTCTGACCCTAGGTGATGCAAGACACTTCTTGATGAACGCATCACTTTGGTGTCCTTGACTTTGATCATGGTTTGAGGCCTCACTTCAAATGTAACCTTTTTGTATATCTTGACAATTGTATCCAGTGACAGATCTAGAAATTTATCCAAAATAGGGCGGACGCTTGACGACCATTGGAGCAACCATTGACCTGTCACCAATATATGGAAAAAAAAATAGATTTTTTTTAGTAGAGCCAGCATAGGCGGCCGCCATGGTTCATCAGGTGCTAGCTCCGCCAGTGATTGTATCATACTTACTGACATTGTAAGGTAGTTCTCGAGTCACCATCTAAGCAAACACATTACAAATGAATATATATCGATAAGTATTTCTCGTCGTATAAACCTTGGTGCCATGAATTCAGGTTACCAATTTTAACCAATTCAGGCCAAACAAAATAAAATTAAAACAAAGCACGTTGAAATGAAGGACAACTATTATGTCTCATTTTCATTTGTGTTCATGTTTTATTTAAAAATTTAAAACACGAAAAGCAAATAAATCTCTTTATACCTTCTAACTACAATAATGCTGGGCGCACAGGGATATGGAACAGGGTTTGTACAGGGATTTAAAAGAAAATCTCTTCACGTGGCCATGCAATTAAAAAATAAATAACATGTTGGCGGGAAAAAATTGGTGGGGAATGGGCTTGCACGTGTGTAAAAAATGGAAGCCATTACTTTCAAATATTTTATTGCTTTTCCATCAAAAATCCCTGGCAGCTCAACGTCCCGAATTAAAAATCGCCCAGAAGGAAATTCCGACCAACGCGTGCTTCTCTTCCAAACACGTTCTAAAATTCCGACCAATGTGTGCTTCTCATCCGACCAACATTAAGGTACCCTTATTCAGAACAAGATTTTTATCCATCTCCTAAAATGACGTCATTCATAGAATAAAATGATTTATTTTTATTTTTCTATTTTCAATATGTTAAAATATGGGAAAATGAAGAGGAATGTTTAAAACTAAACTTGTATATTCGGTATTTGAATATTTCAGTTTTGGGGGAGATGGGTTTCGACTGTTCGAATTGATTGGGATTGCAAAGTGATATTCGAATTTACAATGATCTTTTCTTTTGTTAGGGATAGGTAAAAGATGTATAAAGGTAATCAATTGACTAAAAACGAAAAAAGCACTTTTTCCAGTAAAGAGATGTTGGGTTCCTAACCAAGAATTAATTGAAGTGTGATCTTTACAGAATTCCTAACCATGGCATTTTCCAGTAACGGAGTCAGGGGGAAACAAAATAAAAATTATTTTTGTTTTCCTGCAATTACTATCGTTGTGTTATTATGGATTCCTAAATGTGTTCACGTATGTTATTGCAGTATTGTCGGAATTATGGACAAAGTGCAAAATGAGCATGTTGACGTTACGATAGAATCCGACAACGAGAACATCACGGACTCTATTAACATAGTGGAAGGTGTAACCTCAGTGAGAGATGGAGTGATTGTGCCCGCTGTAGGAATGGAGTTTAAAGATGTGACAGAAATGTTTGACTTCTACAAAAAATATGCTTATGGCGTCGGTTTTCCAGTGAAGAAAAGGAATTCAAAAAAGGGGGATGATGGAGCGATGAGATATGTAACGTTGACTTGTGGCCGGGAAGGGCGAAGAATTGGTAAGACTAGTGGTTCTTTGAGGCCGCAACCAACAATTCAGATGGATTGTAAAGCAAGGATATCAGCATCTTTAGATATATATGGAGTTTGGAGGATTAACACGGTCCACCTCAAGCACAATCACAAAACTAGTCCTTCGAAGTCCAGGTTATATCGATGTAATCGAGAATTGAGTGTACATGTGAAACGCAAACTTGAAGTTAATGATTTGGCGGGAATTCCGTTGCATAAAAGCTACAATTTTGCAGTTGTAGAAGCAGGTGGTTATGAACAAATGAGTTGCATGGAAAAGGATTGTCGAAATTACATTGAACAAGTGAGGCAACTAAGACTTGGAGAGGGAGATGCCGCTGCCATACAATCATACTTTTCGAAAATGCAGGCACAGTGCTCAGGCTTTTACTTTAGCATGGATTTAGATGATGAGTCACGACTGAAAAATATATTTTGGGCAGATAATCGTTGTAGGCAAGCGTATAAGGAGTTTGGCGACGTCGTTACATTTGACACGACTTACCTCACAAACAAGTATGACATGCCTTTCGCCCCATTTGTTGGCGTCAATCATCACGGGCAATCAACGCTGCTTGGTTGTGGGTTGGTATCGAACGAAGACACAGATACTTTTGTGTGGTTGTTCAGTACTTGGTTTCAGTGTATGCATGGCATCGCCCCTCAGGGAATTATTACTGACCAAGATAGGGCTATGCAAAATGCGATTCAGCTTGTTTTTCCCAACACAAAACACAGATGGTGTTTGTGGCACATCTTGAAGAAGTTGCCCCAAAAATTTGGGTACCACGAGGATAAGTCTGGAATATTTGGTACTATACACCGATTGGTTTATGATACGCATTTCGTGCAAGAGTTCGAAGAAGGTTGGGCTGCAATGATTGATACATACCATCTGCATAATAACGATTGGTTATCTGGACTTTTTGAGAATAGAGGGCGTTGGGTGCCATGTTATTTGAAGACTTCTTTCTGGGCAGGTATGTTAACAACACAAAGAAGTGAGAGCATGAATGCATTCTTTGACGGCTATGTGCATTCGAAGACAACCTTAAAGCAATTCGTCGAACAGTATGAACGTGCACTGCGGAATAAGGTTGAGAAGGAATTCCAGGTCGATTTCAAGTCATTTTCATAGATGGTACCATGTGCAACACAATATGAAATGGAGCAGCAGTTGCAATCAGTTTATACCATTTCTAAATTCAGGGAAGCTCAGGAAGAGTTCGCGGGGAAGGTTTACTGTGACCTCATATCTTCTTCAGAGGGGGCCTCTGGGACGACATACGAAGTATGGGAGGATTTTATGTACGAGGGCCGAAGAAAGAAAAAAACATTTTTTGTCACATTCGAGAAAGATAGTTGCGAGGTTGTATGCAGCTGCCATTTGTTCGAATTTCGGGGGATAGTTTGCCGTCATGCAATCGCAGTCTTGATTCGCAGTGATGTCAACTTACTTCCAGAACGGTATATACTTCGAAGGTGGAGGAGAGATGTTAGTAGAGCACATGCAAGGGTGTCAGTGAACTACGATGGTTTGGTTAGTTCTCTTGAACAATTAAGATACAATGACATGTGTCGCGCGTTCGCGCAAATTGCAGACCTTGCTGCTGATGATGAAGGGCGAGCACGTGCTATTATGGACTAGATAAAAGTACAGTATGAAGACCTGATGACGGCAAGAAGGTCGAGTTTTGGAAGTAATGCTCTCGTACATCACACTAGTCAGGGCGACGAACAGTGTGCTGCTTCGCAAAATAATGCAAGCATGAATGTGCAGAATCCGAAATTGTCGAATAGGAAAGGGGCGCCTAGGAAATTGCGTAGAAAAGGCCCATTGGAGTCGAGTTCATCCACAGCAAAGGTATATTTAATTAAAAAACTATAGATATCAATGGACTAGTATATACAAATATTGATTATGTTTGGGGAGACATGCAAGGAATTTCAGCATCAACAAAAGGAAAGAGACCTAGGGCAAGGCGTAGTGATATGCAAGATGGTGGAGTTGACGTTCAGCATGTGCCGCAACAACATTACTCGGTGCATACACCGATGTCATTTTTGCAGTACTCCATGCCAACACAATTCCTAAGTCCACAATATTCATTCGCTACACCATTCCCCCACACAGGGGTCTTACAATCTTCAAGTTTTATTCCTCCATCGTCGTCAAATATTATTTATACTTCACAAGGTAAAAGCATGATTTGGCATTATAAATCAATTCTTCATTATTGTTTAATCGCAAACGAGGTTATAATTTTTATTTCTATTTCATCATGAGTGCTAATGCAGTCTTCAAATGTCCCACTTTGGACAGGAGGTGCATCAGTCGAACAAGCAAGTACACGGGGGAAAGATTCAACGACAGGCAGCTTTGATTTCGATGCCTGACTACATTTTAGAAACCAATTTATTCTATTTTCACTCTCATGCTTTCTAATTGATATAAGATGAGGCATTATATCTTAAGTACTGCAAATTGGTTTCTATGTTTTGGAATTGTAATGTCCACTTCTCTTTTTGGTCTTATAATTGCTTATCCATTTGGGGAGACATGCTGTGCGTTGGGTATGTAATTGGTTTCGACGGCTATGTGCATTGGTATTAGTTGTATCTACATATTGTGTATTAGGACTTGATTCTTCAGGTCTTGAACTCTTTTTAATCCCTTCCATTTAATCCAGTGGTTAATTCTATGGTACTGATCTTATGATAGTAGTAACTAGAAGATGATTAAGAAAATGGTTTCTTGGGTTTAGTATTAGGCTAAATAATTCAAGAGTTTGATCCAACATCTTTTTGTTTGGGTCGAGGTTCAAGAAAGTGGTTTTTGGCAGTTCCTTTTCTTGGACCTTTCATTCGAAATGATTTGAATTATAAAATAAAATAAGGCTTTTTTTATATTCTGTTCCTTCTATTACTATGTTTGTTTCTATCGTTGGAATCTGCCTTGGGCAGCGGAGGAATCAACAAGAAAGGTCTATTGTTTTTTATTTAATTTCCTTCTGATGGCTTTCCTGCATTTGAGTAATCGCTTCAAATTGATCTGTTGGTCCGTTGATTTTTGGTCTATCTATTGATTGTTTCTACATTTTTAGGGTGTGCTTGAAATTTGTCGAGCTGCTTTTGCTTAAGCCGAGCTGTATAACGAATAGGTTTACATGTTACCATGTTGCTCATACTTTTGTGCAATTTTTTGGCAGTCAGTTGGATTCTTCTCTTGAATTTGCATTACTGCTGGCATATATGTATTTGTACAGTGCAACTCTTTCTAATTGAATAGGCTTATTTTAATTGTCCTTGTCCAATTAGTAAGCTTGTGATAGTTGGGTCATTGGTTACTAATGATGTATTGGTGCTATTCATGGTTTAACGCAATCAATGGTAGAGAAATGCATGTTAGCATTAAAAATTCCTAATTCTGTCTTCACAATGGTGGCAATCATGTCTACAAATTCCTAATCCAAATTGATCAGTAGACCATAGCTACATGAAGATACCGATAACTAACTCGACTACTCGAGATAATGCTACATACACAAAAGTTATGTCGACGAGCAAATTTATGTCTAATAATTACATCGACTGCTTCCCTTTTGCATTCGCTTCTGCACTACAATTGGCCTTGCATATTTTGACATTCACCGAAATATGTAGGTTTTCTTCGTCATTCAGTCGAACCCGAGATTCCAACGTCTCAAACATTGCTTCAACATTTTCATTCGTTACAAAGTTTAATGGTCAACTGTTATCATTAGACGATTGATCGCTCGATCCTTCTTTGATAATCCAATCCAAAATCTGCAATTAGCACTGCAACAAATATATAATCGCCCTTTATTCGTTGTTTGTTTCTTTATCACTAAACACTTCTCAAATTCATGCTTGCATTCCGGGCATTGACATTTCCTTGGATATTATTAGGCAAAGAAATGAACCTTAGCTCTGCAACTGTGACACATTTAAGTATTCTTTCCGCCCATTCTACGATAGAAATAAACTGCACGGTTAGCTCAACAGAATTTATTGTCACCATAACAATTAACGAAACCACCTAAATATTGAATAACATGCATAATTCGAACTGAAATTTCATAGAGTGATCCTGTAATAAAATGATTAAAACTTTCATTTGCTGCCAGACAACCGTCAGTGGAAAAAAAAAAAAACTCAAGAATTTGCATCTTTTTATAATCATATAAGTTGAACCATATGTTGAAAAACTGATGGAATAAAAAATTTTCTAACACAACATAGCCAAGCAACTGAACAGAAAAGAAAAAATTGCGAATTGGAAAATAAATAGAGGCACAAGTGATAGTAATTTTCAATAATAACTTAGTCTAGTCCAAAAAAGGAGCATAATGAGGAAATAAACCGCACGAATATCGGCTATACAAGCTTTAGTGAAAAATAAAATAAAATAAAATAAAAATCGAAAAACAACAACTTTGAATTGTGCAAAACCAGGAAATTTTTAAAGCATAACCTTTGTCGCCGATCGGTGATGGTGATCTAGGATGACGGTTAAATTTGGACGGAAGTGACCCCAGAGCGACGATAACCTTCGTTCCAAACCCACGATGGAAGTGCTGTCTGAGTGGCGATGGTACCGTCATCTGAAGTGTGGTCGGAGATGGTGAGGCCGGAGAACGTTTTGCGTTTGTGAGGGTTTCAGTTTGGGCGTGATTTGGGAGAAACAGTCCTCTGGTGTACCTTTTACTCTTCAAATTTTGGTTTCACATTCCAATTAAATCCTCAAAATGAAATTTTATAATTTATTGACCACTATGTATTTAGATATTTTAAGGAATTGATTGTCATAAACTCAAGAAATTTTGAATTGAAAATATCGTAAAAATGAAAAACGAATGTCATAAAAAATATTTGCTGCCAGAAGATAATTGCTCTTCTCTATTTATTTGTATGATTAATTTAAATGCATAACACTTTTCAAAAAAAATTGTACCCCTATAATTTGATATTTATGGAATTCAACATCTTTCTTTTTTCAAATATTTTCAAATAACACACACCAAAATTTAATCTTCAAAATAACACACAAACCTCGTTCAAAGCTTGAAGGAATAATACATTACAAATGTATTTTAACAGTTTCGAAAGCCGAAGAAAGAATTTTACTAAATTAATGGGGACGGGGATGGAGAAGGAAATTGTTGTTCATCGTCGTCAAACTCGAGACCTGTGGCTTCCGGTTTTCTTTCTTCTTTCAAATATCTTCAAAATAACGTACATCAAAATTTAATCTTCAAAATAACACACATGTTCGTTCAAACCTTGAAGGAATAATACATTACAAATGTATTTTAACAATTTGGAAAACCCAAAGAAAAAAGCTTACTGAAATGGGGAAGGGGATGCAAAAGGAAATCGCTGTTCATCGTCGTCAAACGTCGGACCTGTGGCTTTCGATTGATCGCCGGAGTTCTACCTTCCCTGGGAAATTATTTTGAGAAGCTCGTTTAACAGGGACCAGGTTTCCAATTTCAGATTAGCTTCTAATTTGAGGACGAACAGGGTTGGAGAATGTCTGGGGTTTTCTTATTCCATTTTAAACCCTATCACGAGTCCCTCACGTGCTTCTTTAGCGTTCCCTCCATTTTCTTTTGCCAGGTCAGCAAAATTCGAATCCCTGTTTGTCTTCTGTCGTGTATGCCTGTGTGAGTAGCTTAATCCTTTTAACTAACATTGTGAACAGAAATAGTCACTTCTAAAAGACGCATTGATTTATAGAAGATAAATGATAACAATATAATTAAAATACTTAAGAATATAAGTCCAACAGTTAGCAAAACTATAGACCTTCACTACACTTCAAAAATGGTGGAGCAAAAAAAAAAAAAAAAAAAAAATTGTGAACCATGTTTGACTGCGCTTAAAAGTAAAACAACTTTATTTTAAGTTAATTAAAATATTATTTTAGAATTTACTTTCTTTCGTCAATGAGCTCCTGTTTGGCCTCCATTAAATTCAATTACATTACATTCCATTTTTCTCTCTCTTATTTTCAACCACATAATCTTCCATAAAATAATATTACACGTAAATAGAAAACTTTTCCTCTTTTTCAACATTCATTTTTAAAAAAAATACTATTTCTGCCATTTTCATTTTTAGAAAATGGGGACCAGACGGGAGGCGAAGAAAATCTTAACAGTCAAACATGGTTTTGATAAGAAAAGACTGCTGTCTGTAAACTTGAATTAGCGCCACAAATGACGTCCCGACAGAACAGTAACCCAGACGTCGAAGCAAGAAGATAAGATGAATTCAGGATAATTGTTAGGCTCCGTTTGATTGCACGAAATTTTCCATGGAACTTGGAATTTGAATTCCAACTTCCACTTTTGATCTGTTTGATTGACAAAATTTTCCAGGGAATTGATTTTCCATGAATTTCTAGGTACAACACCTTAAAGCGTGATTTTCCACCTTTTTTTTTTCCTAGGGGATAGGTGGTTTTTGGTTTTCCACCTTTTTTTATTTTTATTTTTTTTGCTTTTTTTATTTTTTTTTAATTGTTGGCAATGGGAACAAATTTTAGGAATAATTGTAAAAGAGGATATCCCTGAAATTGATAATTTCCACGTAAAACAAAGTCAAACGAACATCAAAAAATACTTTTACTTCAATATTTTCCACGTGAAAAATTTATACAATCAAACACAATAATTTACAATTTTCATGAAAACAATTTCTAGGTAATTCAATTCCCTGGAATTCATTTTCTTTCCACCTAAATTTTATCTTCGCAATCAAACAGACCCTTGTGGTTTTAGAGTATATTCTTCTCAGTTTCACCCGTCTTTTAAATCCAAAAATAGAAATGGCAGTTTTCTTGCTCTTTACTACCACATTCAATCACTCACACACTTACACTACTTTCAATTTCTTCACCTCACTGCAAAATTTCTGTGGGGATTCATTCTCCAATTTAAAGGCTAAAGGAAGAATTCACAGAATATGTTGTAGGAAGGTTCGAGTTGTGTCGTCGCATTCCAATCCCAAAATTCTGAAGCGCAATCGTAAATCCAGGTATGGACAGCCATTGTCTCCTTATGACAGTGAAGAAGAAAAAGAAGTTGATGATGACGACAGTGGTGGTGACGATTGGATTTCTGATGTGAGTTTCTTTCTCTTCTCTTCTCTTCTCTTTTTTTTTTATTTTTTTTTTTAAATTTTGATTTATTATTTTTTGTTTCTAATGATATTTATGCTACTTTAAGGTCTGAAGAAAGAAATAAAATGGGTTTCTACAAGAGATTTTATTTGTTATCCTGCAGGCTAATAAGCATTTTCGGCTCAGATGTTCGATTATTGTAAAAAGAAAAATGGACAAATGCAGAATTGGAAGTCTAAAATAGCAATCTTTACTTGATGGTGTGCACTCATCAAATCACAAATTGAAGAAATTGAAGAGGATATTCAATGCTCTGCTGTCAGTTAATGTAAATTATATATATGTGGTTTGAAATATGAACTTGCTTGCAAATAGGACAACTGTGGAATGTCTTTTAAATTAAGTGATTATTGGATTAACTTTGGCATGTAGTGCAGGGAAGTGTAATTTATTTATATATATTGGTCTGGGACACAGTTTTGAAAATTGTCTATGTTAAATCCACTCGTAAATTTTAGGGAATAGAGAGCTCTATTAGTTTATGCAAAATTTATGGCGTCATTGATGTTCTGCAAAACTTGACATTATAGGGTCTTGTATATCAATCCTTTAAAAAGGATGTTTTGTGGCCTCCAAACTACTGGTGCCATAGTAATTTTGTCAATGGAAATATGCTGTAGTTACATGTCAGTCAGTCACTGATGCAATGATAATAAATCCACAATGAAATTCAACTTGATATAATTTATTTGTTTGCCACTTTCTGATGGTCATTTTTTTTGGGTTGGGATACAGGAAGAGTTTGCAGACAACAAAATTTCTGAAGCTGATAGACAAAAGTTAAAGATGCAGAATTCGACCAAGATGAAACAAGGTATTTGTAATTTTTTGAATAGTATCAAAGAGTTGAAGGAGTCAAGGAATGTAAAGTCGTGGTTCACAGTCCATCCTTTATTACTAGAAGAAGGGGCTTGGATGTAAAGTTATGTTGGCAATGTGGTCCTATTCAACTGAACCATGTGGAATTCTCATGCATTCACCATTAACTAGGTTTTTTGGGGGGTAGTTGACACAGACTCATTTTCTCTTGATCTTCTTTTCTCGCAATATTGTCTGATTAGGTTTTTCAGTCTTCTTTGAAGTTACCGTTGATATCTCGTTTCTTAGAGATTTTCTGGTCTATGTTGTTTGGTCTAACTGATGACTTAATGGCTTAGTCCCTAGTGTTTGGACGGAATGAGTGCTGTATATTCTTGAGAGGTTTGAGAGGGTTACTATGTTGTATCATTGTGAATATTTGTTAACTTCGTGACCATTTCTGGTGTTCTGTGTTATGATTTCTGCAGTGCTTGTGAAAATTTACCGATTTCGTGGTGCTTGGATCCTATACAGTAGGATTAATCGATTTAAGGTAAAGCTCATTGTGCAGGCAGTCGCAGGCATCTGGAGAGAGGTGGAGGTGCAAGCTCTTTAAATTCTGGACGAAACCTTGAAACAAGGCAACACAAGTTGGGTATAAAGAATGGCAAAGACATCCTAAAAAAGAGAGAGAGTAGCATTTCGTATAACACTTCCAGGCAATCAGCAAGCATTTCTTCTTTAGGTGATAGCAGAGAAAAGGTATCAATCATCACAACTGTCAGATGTAACTTTTGAGTGGTAATGACCACCACAATGTTTGTTGTTTTATCTGATTGTGTTGGATGAATTGGTTTTACCAATTATTTTATTTGGTACCATTAGTTGGACAAAAGTTCTCTTTGGCCTAGTGTATTCTACTCCAAGAGTGGATTAATGATATGTATTTATTATTGCAAAACCAATTAAGGGTGAATGAGAAATTACTGCCGAAAGATGAACACTTGAAGTTGAAATAAAGTGGGAATGAAAATTGGTGGGAAATTGGAGAATCCCAACCTACATGCTAGTAGCTTGAGCCAAAACCCACATGCGCTCTGTCGGTCGACATGGCACCGAAATTTTGCCCAATTGTTTAGTCACTATAAAAGATCATTTTGAATATAAATTATTGCATCAGGTAACTATAATCACAACTGTTAAATATGATTTTGTGTAGTAATGACCGCCATAATGTTTATTGTTTTATCTGATTGCACCAGGAAGCAGAAAGTTCTTCTAAGAAAAGATTCACTCATTTGTCAGAAGAACTAGACTTAGACGATAGGTGGTTACCGCTTCTGGATCATTTGAGCACTTTTGGTCTTAAGGAATCACATTTTATTCAAATGTATGAAAGGCATATGCCATCCCTTCAGATAAATGTTGACTCTGCTGAGGAAAGATTGGGATATTTGTTAAGTGTTGGCGTCAAACACAGAGATATCAGAAAAATAATTTTGAGACAGCCTCAAATTTTGGGGTACACCATCGAAAACAATCTGAAGTCTCATGTTGCCTTTTTGGGAAGATTGGGCATTCCAGAATCGAGAATAGGGCAAATAATTACTGCCACCCCATCCATGTTCTCTTACAGTATTGATAATTCTTTAAAACCTACAGTCAAGTACCTTCTTGAGGAGATAGGAATCGAGAAGCATGATCTGAGTAAAGTTGTGCAGTTAAGCCCTCAAATTCTGGTTCAGCGGATAGACAATACATGGACTGCTCGTTTCAATTTTCTGACAAAAGAATTGGGAGCACCCAGAGAGAGTATAGTAAAGATGGTCACTAAACACCCTCAAATACTACACTACAGCATTGAAGATGGATTACGCCCCAGGATCAATTTCTTAAGAGGCATTGGGATGTGCATCTCTGATATACTGAAAGTATTAACTAGCCTTACACAGGTCAGCTGGATTCTCTTGTGCAATTGATTTTGTACCTCAAACTACAAGCTCGACCAACTTGTCCTCAAAATTGAATCCATGCCTTTTACCTTTTCATACAGATCTTGTTTTGCTTAACATCACAATCAAATTAAATTTTCAGATGATGCCATCTGTGCTTGCAGGTATTCTCTCTGTCATTGGAGGGAAATCTGAAACCTAAATACATGTACTTGATCAATGAACTTAAAAATGAGGTCCATTCCCTGACCAAATATCCGACATACCTAAGCTTGTCTCTTGACCAGCGAATTCGTCCTCGCCATAGGTTTTTGGTTTCCTTGAAGAAAGCTCCGAAAGGGCCATTTCCTTTGAGCTCACTGGTTCCAACTGATGAAAACTTTTGCCACCAGTGGGCAGGAACTAGCTTAGACAAATATCTGGATTTCCGGGAGAGATTGCTGCTCAAAGAGTTTGCAAAGAAGTACGAAAGAAAATGATTAGTTCCATTCTCATTCCTAGTCTACTTGGTAATAGATCACACACATTACAGCAAATTGAGATGCATATACTCTTTTCCTGGGAACACTTGAATATTAAGGTGAGTCAGATGTTCATGATAATTGACACATACATTTATATCGAAGAAACATGTATAATGTTAATTTCTGTTTTATATCTGTGCTAGCTGTTTCTAAATTTTGCTATACAATTTTGCGAGGTGTTGTCCTACGTCAATGCTTACACTGTGATAGTCCCTGTTTATTAAAATCGAATTAAAACTAACCTTGATATGCTGGGTTCCAGTGATGACGTTTGATTGTTAGAATCAACAGAAGTTAGTCCTCCTCCTCCTCCTCCTTGATATGCTGGGTTCCAGTGATGACGTTTGATTGTTAGAATCAACAGAAGTTAGTCCTCCTCCTCCTCCTCCTCCTCATTATTATTATTATTATGTTTTTTTATGGGTCTAATACATTGGTCAAATAAAATAGTTGAACTGAATTCAAATGAATTGCACAATCATTCTAATGATCATCTACCTTGATTTTATTTTAAAACCCAAATTCTCCTTCTCCTTCTCCTTCTCCTTCTCCTCCTCCTCCTCCTCCTCCTCCTCCTCCTTCTTATTATTATTATTATTATTATTATGTTTTTTTATGGGTCTAATACATTGGTCAAATAAAATAGTTGAACTGAATTCAAATGAATTGCACAATCATTCTAATGATCATCTACCTTGATTTTATTTTAAAACCCAAATTCTAATGTTTGCCACTTCTCGGACAGGTTTGTTATTTGATTACAACCCGTTAAGAGAAAAGATATGCAATAGCTAGTCTTGACGGCTGCTGATTTCTTGTTGAAGGATTCTTTTGTGCTCGTTTCTTTGACACTTCCTGTCTTTCATACTTCTTATTACATACAACGGCTATGCTTTTCCCTGTTGCAGTACCTTCACAACTACCAACTTTTATTTTGATGGCAGTTAAGAAGGTATCAGTGATTATTATTTCCCATTTCTTTTGAATATGTATTGGTAATTCCTCTCTTTTCCCCCAACATAGGCATGATTAACTATTTCATAAAAATCATTCTTTTCTACTACCCTCGTGTATATTTTGTTGTAATACTGGTATGTATTATGATTTGGGATACTTCTTAGCGATGAAAATATTTGTTTATATAAATTCAAAATGTTGGCAAAGTTATTTCTATCATTTGTTTTTTCGTACTTGACCCTAAGTGCATGATATCGTTAAATGAAGTTTGTGATTCTAAGTGTCATTCACTTGTGTTCTTCACTTACTCTAGACGATCGTTAAATTAGCATGATCATGTCTTGTAATCTTTGTATAAACTTCATTTTTGCAAGATTTCGTGTTCACACATAGTAGAGCAAATTCACAAGGTTTTAGACACCACTCCCAAACTTAGGACGAACATTGTCCTTTATGTTTAACCAGTACAAAGATATGTGCAAATTGACACTCTTTCAGTTTGCCAATTGGATCCAGATTTTTGCACTGTTGCATCACCAAACATGTCATAAGTTGTTGAAAAATGTTTGGTGCCAACGAGTAGTAAGATGTTGCGAAACTACATGGAAATGATGAGGAATCAATTTTCCACAATGTCCATTAAGTTGATCATTTGGAGTTTGGTTTTCTTTTCTACTTTGACTTTGTTACGAGTATATGAGTTGCAAATTGCAACCATTGACTTTTGTTTGCATTAAATGAAGTTTATTGTTTTGGTTTTGGATGCGATTGTTAACTTTTGTCAATAAAACTTTTTATTGTAATTTGCATAATAATTTAGATTTTTCAGTTTTGGTTATGAAATCGAATCAAACCAAAGTAAACAAAAACCTGCGACTCAAGCCAAATTGAAACTATTTGGTTGAATCGAACAATTTGGAAACTGTGATCACCCCAATAAACTATTTTGAGAAAATTGAAATACCATGTTCTTTGAAATACTACTGATAAATACCATCTACCATTTAAATTTATTAATTTTTTTATTGATTACTAACATTTAAATTTATTAAAAATTCTTCAATTATTATAAGATTCCATTTCTATACGAAACGGAGAAATGCACGGGTACCCAAGTAAAGAACATTAAAATAAATGGATTAATCTACTTTGCTAGAAATAAAATAGTAGAAAGGTTGACAGATGTGCATGTGTCAGTAGATATTTTAATTGAAAAATTGATTGTATTTTAAGCAGTTCAATAATTGAATATCATCCGACATTGTGTCAAGAATTATATTCAAACATCTAGCACGAGTGCATGACTGAGTAAATTGTTGCTCAAACAACATATCTAGTCATTGTCTCAGTCGTGAGTTAGCCCACCGAGGATGGTATCGGCGCCGTCATTTTACGAAGCAAAAGGAAGGAATTATCGTATATGATTATACTCTATTTTAAAAGGATAATGTGTTTTTTGTTTACATCTTCACTGTAATAGAAAATGGAAATTTATCGTCCTGTTTGGGGTTTATTAAAAATAGGTTTTGGAAAAAAAAATATTTTTAGATTAGTGATTTTTTTTTTTGAAGAATGTATGGTAAAAAAATAAGGAAAAATTTTAAATTTACATATAATATTATTTTATTGAAAAATGTGATTAAAAAAAAAAAGATATCTCCATTGTAATAGGGTTATTAGAAAACTTCAAGATTTTACTAAGTTACATCAACATAAAGAGTCTACAATAAGAACAATATTGTTTAATCTCACTGATATTTTACACTAATCTACGCGACAACAAACGTAATATTAAAGGATAAATTTATTCAAGAATCTGTGTAATATGAAATTATATAATAAAATAAATAAAGTAAATCCATATCTATACATTTAATTTACATAATCATTTTAATATATAACCAGTCACATAGATGGATAATTATCTTTAATAACATCTCCAATAATTTTTTTTTCGAATGTAAATAACATCTTTTGCATAATAGATTATATATTGAAATTCAAAGAGTAAATTTTTGACACTCCAACATCAAGGTGGCAATTTGGCTCGTCGGCTTGGGTTGGGCCGAGCCCTCATTTTGGTGTGTCGGCCCCTGCCTGGCAAGCTCGGGATAATAATAAGGGAAAATTGCATAAGAAGTCTCCTTTGAAACACTAACAGACTTTTCCGAAACATTTGATTTGTTGCAGACGTCACTCCCAACCTTTCCAAAAGTTGCATGGGAAGCCCTTTTGAAAGGTTTCCATTTATAATTCCGTTAATTGACAAAAAATTTAAGTTTGACCACATTTTTAATATTTTAACAGGGGCAAAAGAGTAACTTTTCATTTATCACATTAAATAATAATTAAATTAAAAAATAAGAAATGAAAAATAAAAATAAAAACACAAGTGGGTCCGCCCCTGCCAACGTCGAATGCTTGAGAATTAAGATAAAAGAAATGACAAGGAAATTAGTAAATGATGACAAAAAGCAGCTCTTTCCCATTTTCCACAAGTCGACTTTCGTTGATTGGCAACATAAGGCGGTCATAATTACTAAGCTAGGCACGAAATTGACTAGAAAAATTGTATTTGCATAATTATTTCAGTTTATTACTTGCTAAAAGATAAAATCTTGTAAAAGAAACAGCCAATTTGCTCTTGTTTAGTTTACTCTTTTAATAACAGTAGTCGACGCCAATAAAGGAGGAATTATTGGTGGATTAATCACCATGGAGGAGGCTCCCTTTGGGGAAGGAGTAAAAACCATGTGGGAACTTGGAAACCGACAAGGGCACATCCTGTGATTTACCTTCCTGAGCAGCTGAGGGGCTGGAGGTTTAGGGACGAGAATATAGTCTGGCGCAAGCTGGGACACCTCGTTAAAAAAAAAAAAAAAAAAAAAAAAAAAAACAGTAGTCGACGAGGTATCATTGATTTCCGAGAGTCAAGGTCTTACAGGTTTGCTAATCATTCCCCCTCCTTCTTTTGTTTTTTCCTGCTGGTCAAAAGGTTTACACTCTACACAATTAATTTGCAATGATTATATGAGGTGGTTTTAATAATACAGAGATCAAATTGATAGGATATAGCAGTTATTCATAAGGTTCTGAAATGCACAATACATAAAAGTGCATTTCGATCGAGTATCAAGTATTAAAAGAATATACGTGTTTGTGTAAAGCATATGTGTAATTGTGCGTTTTTTCAATTTTTAATATTATTTTAGATAGTTAAAAAAATTTAATTAGATTTTTTTTTATTTTTTATTTTTTTTTGGTGTAAACGTCAAAACCCTACAATTACTGTATATAATTCATTGGCTTGGGTGTTTTGGGTTAGTGTGATGTTTGTTTGGCTCAATTTGCATCATCATCATTATTTTTTTTTTAAAGTTATAAAAATGGATTGAGCTTTGTTAAGCTAATTTTGACACAATCTTTTAAAACAAATGCTTTGACATTTAAGCATGTTTATGCAGTTAATGAAATGAGTTGACCGCATTATCATGTGTATACCTCACATGTCAAGAGTTTCGAAAACACATTGAGCATAAGCGGGTATAGGCGAAATATATGCATATATTTTAGAACACTAGTTATTCAAGAATATAATTAAAAGGCAAATCCTTTAAAGTAAAAGATAATTTTCCAAATTAGTTTTAGAACATGTATAGTATATAGTACTAAATTGTTGTATGGTGGGGATTAAAATTAATATTTTGGTAGATTTTGATATAAATTTGATAAAATGTGTAATTGAAAAGATGTGAATCCAATTAAAATTAATTGCGAATTTGATTTAAATTTAAATTAATGTTAATCCCTACCTGAAATAAAATTTTATTGTTCTTCTTATATCATGATTGCGGTCCAACGTACTATATAAAGCATGCTGATAACCGAAAAAAATCTAATCTTCCACATGTCATCATTTTGTTCAATTCCCAAATGGAAAAAGTCGTGGACCGCTTTAGACCAGCAAAAGTTCAAAAGGCCAGGACTTTTGGGGCTAATTCATGAAAAGATGAGTAATTTCTCCGAATAAATTCAGAAATTTTCAAAAGATTTTTAACATAAAAATATAACCATTTAGGCAATGAGATGTTAATGTTATTGACAATGACATAAAAATTATCTGATACTTTTTTTTTTTTTTTTGAAAAATTGGTTGTACAGGATACAATTCAGTAATGAGAAAGAAAAATAATTGGACATTTGATTCCAATTCGATAGAGATTAAAATCATACTTTTATCAGTTTTTGATAAAAGTTAGCCCTTGTTTGACTACTATTTTTCCAAATCTCATTTTTTTTAAAAATTCATTTTAATAATACATTTTTTTTTCATAAAATAATTTTACAAGTAAATTAATTCAAAAATCTTCTCAATTTTAAACACACATTCTCTAAAAAAATTACTATTTCGAAACATATTTCCTCCAAAAAAAAGGGTCTCAAACAATGGATTTAATGAATTGTGTGATTAAAAAATTAGGGATTCCATAAAATATATGTTGACTTTGACTTTGAAAAAATTTAAATTATGATTTCTATCAAACATGGCTTGATCTTATAGTATTCAAGTTATCTTTGGAGTTTGCATTAACTAATGACATGCATAGATCAGTATCGCTCGAGAAAAAAAAGTTTTATAAGAAAGAAACATGTTTTAAATTAGTTTTCAACACACTATGTGTGAGTTGGATTTATTTATGAGGAATCATGCTATACATCTAGGCTCAAATTCAGATAGGACACATGTGATATGTCGATGTGTTATTGGACAATTTGAAAAATTAAAACAAAAATACCTAATCATTTTTTGACATATCAGTTTGTCTCTTCATTATCTGTTTTTCAATATGGTTAGGTGGCTTTATTCATTTATGAGTAATGTTAAACAATTAATTAAGGATGTTCCTTGTCATATACGCATGTGATGATCTCTATTGACGATAAGTAACATTATTTTTTATTTTTCATCAAGCCTTTCCTTAGCTTCTCTAATATCATTATAATTGATTAATTTTGAAAGTTAGTAGTAAATGTTCCATATGGAATCATATAAAACATATAGGGGATTCAATTACTCATTTTAACATGATTAACCTTTTAAAATAGAATAACAAGCATTTACATAGTAGCGAACACATTTAACTCAAATAAGCAATTAAATGTGACTAATAATAAAAAAAGTATACGGATTTCAAAATTAATAAACCCTCAATCTTAACAGTCTTTTCTTTTTAAAAAGGAACCACAAGTGTTAAGAATACCACATCATTCAAGGGTTAATAGTTAAATGGTCGAATCGAGGTTGAACCAGGGCTGATCCAAAATGAAAATAATAAATAAATAAATAGATTCATATACCACATTAAATTTTTTTTAATTAAAATAGCATTTTAAAATCAATTATTTAACATTCTACTTTTTATGGAGCAATTTATATCAAGTTGTGAAATTAGATGGGTCAAAACAAGTTTTAAAGCCATATATTGAAAACCCTACGTGGTTGCAGCAACTGGCTTTTCTTCCGTTCTTTAACATTTGCAGTGGCCAGCTATTCTTCCAAATAAATTCAGATGGGGTCGCCTCACTTGTCTTCTAGATTTTAGAATTCTCGCTACTTTGTCTTCTTTTTCAATAGCACATGTGTATTTGTGTATATAAGCATTAAATACTTGTATTTGTTTAAAGTTATTTTGGATTTTGAATGTTGAATGGACTGTCTGTAAATCATTTTCTTCTTCCTACTTCAGTTTTTATGGCAGAAGTATTGTGGAATCCGGGAAAACTGTGACCGGTTCACTGGTTTTCGGTTCTCAGGTCCACCACCGGTTTATTTACATTCAGGTTTTCTCTGATGACCGGACCGGATCGATCGAAAACGCAATTCAACAAAATAGAACTTTACTATATGTACACTATGGTGTACACTTTGTCACATGTCATTATCATATTGGACAGTTTAAATTTTAAACAGTTTTTTCATTCAATTGACATTTAACAACAATACAAGTGTCAAAAATCAGTGTACAAATAGTAAAGTTCAACAGAATAAAACCAAGAGCAAATCAATAAGGGAAAATTCCTAGACTGATGTTAAGGATAGCTGAATAGCATTATTATTCTTAGAAAAATACCATTGAACTTCCTAGCTTTTTACGTAAATATCTTTAAGATTCTCTAACTTCATTTGTCTGTCAACTGTATGTACATGTTGTTAATCTCTCCTTTCTCCAAGGCATTCAAACAAAACAATACGAAGATAAACCTTATGAATTCTTGATTGTAACTAAACCTTCTGTCTAGCTAACTATTATTCCCAACTGCCCATCATAGATTTTGTTCCAACTTTTTCTTGCCCATGGCGGATTCCATGCTCAACTATGGCCATCCAGCAGAAGTTCCCATGTTCAGAATTAACCAGGAATGTCTAGCAATATTAGTGCAAGCGAACGACAGTGACTCTCTTCAGCCATTTGGGGGGATGCCAGGATTAATGGAAGCATTAGAAACTAATGCAGAAACAGGAATAAGCGGCAACGCCGGAGATCTTTGCCGCCGCCACAAAGCATTTGGCCCCAACTTATACTTGGAGGAGCAACCGTTTCCAACGGTGGCAGATGGCTTCTGTCGGCTAGCTTTGCTAGGTTTTAAAGACACTACAATAATCCTCCTTCTGTGTTGTGCAGTACTGTCTGCCGTAATTGGAATCAAGAGAAACGGGCCCTTTGAAGGGCTTAGGGATGGAGTAATAATACTATCAGCCATCTTGTTTTTCGTCTATTTTGGTCTTATCTGCAGATATATCAAGTCCAGAATCAGACGAAGAAGATTGTCAAAGAATAAAAAACTTTCTTGGGTGGTTCGACATGGAAAAGTGCTACAAATTTCAGATTCTGAAGTAGTGGTTGGTGATATAGTGTGCTTACAGGCTGGTAATCAGGTCCCGGCTGATGGATTATTTATTGAGGGTAACTCATTATTTAACGTTGACAGTGGTTTTGCCTGGAGCCATTCCAATTATTACAAGAATCCTTCTCTTTTTACTGGTGCTAAAGTGAAGGAGGGCAGTTGCCAAATGCTTGTGGTATCAGTAGGCAGGAACACGGAAAGAGGTCGGTTGTTGAAATCAGTGAGCAGTACCCAGAAAAATGATAACCAAGAATCCGGGCTGCAAGTCTCTATTGATAATACCAACTCCCGTCTGGAGAAAGTTTGGGTGAGTCTTTCATTATTGATTCTTGTGGTGCAGCTATTCGAATGTTTCCTTTCCAATTCAGACAAATGTGACGACAGTCACAACCCGGATCCGAAGGGTGTGAAGAACACAGTAGAGGATTTGATGAATGAATCGGCAAAGCTGATGAAGAAGCAAGGCATCAAAGGGAGTGGATTGGTTGCTGTTCTTAGCATATTACTCTTCGCTTTGAGAGATGGTTTGCCTCTAGGAATTTTCATCTCTTTTGTTTATACATCAAATAAAATGAAGTCCCACGGGGCCGTGGTTCGAAGACTTCCAGCATGTGCTACAATAAGCTCAATCACAACAATCTGCACTGGGATGACAAATGATCTCATTTTGCAGCATTCAGAGATGGCCGATTTGTGGATTGGTTTCGATTGTAATAAGGATGTCTCTACAGAAGTATCTCGAGAGGTCCTAGCTATTTTGCAAGATGTAGTTTGTGCTTATGCTTCTTGCTGTGGCGAAGGAAATGCTCTTTCCTATTGGGCTCGCCATGTACTTGGTACTGATATGGTTGATTTCAGTACTTCTTGTACTATCCTTGATAATAAATCTCTTGATCTCAATGATAATTCTTGTGGTTTGATGCTGAAGAAACATAAAGAGGCAGGCAGAGTTCTGCACATTCATTGGAATGAAGAATTAGAAAAAATAATATTCATGTGCTCGCATTATTGTCAGGGGGATGGAACCTTGCAAACCCTAGATGATGATAAAAAAGATTTGCTAAATAGAGAATTTCAGAAAATTGCATTCAATGGTCTCCAGGTCCTGGCCTTTTCTTATAAACAAGTAAACCAGGAAGAAAAGGATACATCGAATTTCAAAGAAGGCGAAATTGAAGAAAATGATCCGGATGACACTGAAGAAACCCTAAAGCCCTTGGAACATGGCCTAATCTTTCTAGCCCTGGTGAGCATGAAAAATCCGTATCCACCTGAGGTGAGAGAAGCAATTCAAGAATGTCGAGCTTATGGTGTTTCTTTCAAGTTACTCGTGGACACTGACATAACCACATCAAGAATTATGGCCCTTCATTCTGGAGTCTTAAGGCCCGAAGATGAAATTGAAGGAGCTGTAATTGATGCATCAGATTTCCGCAAGAGAGGCGAAGAAGAACGCATGAACGCAATAGATAAAATCCATGTAATGGCCAATAGCTCTCCTACTGACAAACTACAGTTTGTACAGTGCCTGAAACAGAAAAATAACGTAGTAGCAGTATCTGGTTCGTGCTTTAGAGATTGCCCATCCCTAAAGGAAGCTGATGTTGGGATTTTTATGGGTGACCTAAATGTTGCAGAAGATGCGGACATTGTTGTCTTGAACAAAAATTTCTTGACAATCTTTACCATAATGAAATTGGGAAGATGCGTATGCGAAAGCATTAAAAAGTTCTTGCAGTTACAACTAACTCTCAATATTACTGCCTTCACTGTCAACTTCATCTTTGCAATAGCTGGGAAAGAGGTGCAACTAATTTTTCCATTTCAAGTCCTGTGGATAAATCTAATTATGGATGTTCTTGGTGCCTTAGCTTTGGCTACAAGAATAGCTGAGATACCTGGAGACTCGGCTGTCAATAGTGCAGATGATCCTTTCATTACCAGGACAATGTGGAGAAACATAACAGTTCAATCCTTGTTCCAGATCACAACAGTAATGGTCCTAGAAATGAAGGGAAAAGTTTTTTTTCGCGAAGCCGATGAATCAGTGATGAAAACCATGATCAATAGCTGCTATGTGTTCTGTCAAGTTTTCAGTTTGATCACAGTCATGGTGTTGTTCAAGAAAAATAAGACTTCTGTGCATAAAAACTTTTTGCTAGTTTTAAGTGTTGTGGGGATGATAATTGTTGTTCTTGAGGTGGGGTTGATTGAGATCATGGCCATTATTGCTCACTGGGGAAATTTGAACTCCAAGCAATGGTGTATCAGTATGGGAATTGCAGCACTCTCGGTTCCTATAGGATGTTTAGCAAATTGAATTGCTGTTACCACAATATAGGTTATTTGATGTAGTTTTACACACTTTGTAATATTTGCACCGTGTAGAATACTAAATTTAAATAAATAAATGTGCTACTTTTTGAAACTATTAAACTTTTAATGAAGTAATTAAAGAAAAAATAATTTTCTACTTGAGTTCAATTAGTCTTGCTATCCCTCATTTATCAAACTTGTAGACGTATTGGAGTTTTAATATTTTTTTTTTATATGATTTACTCATGAAATGAGCGTCTTCAATGCTAAATATAAATAAATAAATATGTGTCCTCTTTAAAGAATAGTTCAATACTTCCTAAAATTTGATGGTCTATGTGTGTATTGTCTATTCAGACCTATTAGGCTTAATGCATTTTCTTAACCATCTCTAAGAAAACCGCATCATACGTGAATCCATCTCTTATAAGACCTTATGCATGCAGTCTATATTCAGGTATTTTTTAGTGTGTCACCAAAACATTAACATGAGCCTATGTTTGACTCATATTTATAAACCTCCACTCATTTTTTATTTCGAGTGACGCATGAGTACTACGTACTTATATATCCATCACATATTTCTATATAATCTATAGTTTAAATTGTTTATACATACTCCCTGTCCTTTCTTTCTCCCTTAAATTTTGCATTCAAATTTTTAGTTTTTATTTTTGTAAGACTTAGTGAGGAGGAGAGTTAGAAGAATAAAATTGGCTTTCATTTCATGGGACCATATCCGATGTACTTTTATTAAAAAATACATTAGTTGATGACTCATAATTTTTTTTTGACTCGAATGAGAGGGAAAAGGATAAGTAACTGCACCATCTGAGTAATACCAAAAGAATGGATTTTTACATATTATTTAATTATTTCATGTCAGTGTTTCATATTTCTACTCACACCGACTTGTGGAAATTGGATTCGAGGAACCCTTACGTACTTCTTCCCAGTTATGCTATTCTCTTTCAATTCCCACCTTGGATCTTTATTTATTTATTTATTTATTTTTTAAATGTTAGGCTTATTAACATTTTCTATCACATTATTCAATGAAGTCGTGATTTTGATATATTTTTTATTTGATATTTTATTATTGTACAATAGAATCCTTGTTCAAGTATTTTTAGCATTTAATTATTTAATATTTAAGTTCCATTAACAGTTTGTGTAAATTATTACACCAATCTCAGCTATCACTTAAAAAAATCAAGAAAGTAGGAAGAAACACATTTTAAATTGGTTTTCGATATACTAATTAAGTCATTTTANGTGTGTTTACAGGCAGGTAATCAGGTCCCTGTTGATGGATTATTCATTGAGGGTATTGGAGCTTCCTATAACACACGTTAATTTCAAACCGGATTGTAGAGAACGAAATTGTAATGACAATATCGAAGTATACTAGATCACACACCGAAAAACAAGGTTTAAATTGTAAAGAAGAACAAAAGATTAAACACTGAGGAACGATGTTTATTAATTCAACAATATGGAGAATACAAAGCAATCTAGCAATTGACTTTTATCTGTTACCCTTATAAAATGACAGATGAGCCTTGTATTTATAGGCTAACTTTAGAAAAGTCCTAAAAAGCAAGAAAATATATTACAATTAGGATACCCAATTTTAATAGGATCATGTTTCTTTATTCAACTTAGTTTCCTTGAAACCTTAGGTTAATATTCTCTTAGTCCAAGTCGAATACGCTTCTTCAAAAGACACCTATTTGAGTCATACTCCTAACAAGCTTCACATTGACTCAAATTCCGGTACAACGAACGAAACTCCTAGATTTCAAATTCGTTTGCAATGAAATGAACTGGTTGAATCTCCTCAACATAGTAACCACTCCATATAAACCAAACACTCGTTCTTTGCACGACGTCCACAACCGACACCCGAACCCAATTCCCAGGGTTCTCAATTTCTCCAAGGAATTAATGTTGATCACACAAAGCCGAAGCACACCCTGTAACAAGAACCAAACCAGATGCTTGATCAGAAGGCCCCTTGTTAGAACTGTTGCCTTCAGTATCCCCAGAAGCATCCTAGACATTGTTGACACCACGGTACCGACGCTCGATGAGTCCTACCCTAGTAATTGAACAAGTGTACCCGCTGAAATTGGTGACAAAATAGGATCACCAACGCTCTCCCTAGCAGTTTCTTGAACTGACTCAGAGCCCAAACCAAGAGATACTGCACAAAACTGAACTTCCACCACGGTACTAAACTTGTCCAAATGTCTCCTAACAGGTTCTTCAATCCCTTGCAAAATGTACAACTGGGATCTCCTTCGTCCCTCTAGTACAATCTGGACTCCCTTTCGGACTTTTAAGACTCCACTTCCTCCAGACAATTTATACCTTTTTGCATCCAAGGTACTTAGCGAAATGAGATTCCTTTTCAGGTCAGGAATATGTCGAAACTGATCAATTGTTCTAAATGTTCCATCCCACAGTCCCAATTTGACTCGATCGATTCCAGCAATACGGCAAGATTGGTTGTTTTTCATTACAACTCCACCTTACTGAACAACATTATATGTCTGAAATAAATTCCTATTGGAACACATATGGTGCGAACATGTTGAATCAAGAATCCACTCTTTTTAGGCCAAAATTCCACGTCAGATACCACGGTCAATATCACCTCTTCGCTATCTAAATAATTTTCAACTACATTGGTTTCGCCTGAATTTAAGGGTTGCGTTCCATGATTTGCAGCTAAATCACCTTTAGCCTGCAACATATTGCAATCCTTTCGAATATGTCATTTTCTTTTACAGTAGTAATATATCACATTGCTAAATCTAACTCTCGATTTGCCTCTTCGTCGACCACCTTGAGATACAAGAGCTTCCCCATCCATTAATGTAGCTTTAACCAAATGCTTCATCTTTTTCTTTGAGTATAAAGCATCATAGACATCTTCTATAGTCAAAGTATCTCGACTATATAAGATAGTATCTCGAAACGACGCATAAGATCGAGGCAGCGAATACAATAGGATCAAGGTAAGATCCTCTTCATCGTACTTAATCTCCAACGTATCCAGATCTGCAACTATTTCCTTGAACACGACAATATGGTCTTCCAATGACTCTCTTTCTACCATGCGATGTGAATACAAATTCTTCTTAAGAGCTAGTTTATTTGTAAAACTCTTGATCATACACAACTGCTCCAACCTCAACCACAGAGCAGCTGCCATTTTTTCCTTCAAGAAAACCTTGTACTGCGATCTAATTGCGGAATATCATACTTCAACTCAGCTAACTCAAAAGAATCTCAACCAATCCACAGAAAATCAATTGCTTAGCTCTGATACCACTTGCTGGGTAAGATCCTATAACACACGTTGATTCCAAATCGGATTGTAGAGAATGAAATTGTAATGACAATATCGAAGTATACTAGATCACACACCGAAAAATAAGGTTCAAATTGTAAAGAGGAATAAAAGATTAAACACAGAGGAACGATGTTTATTAATTCAACAATATGGGAATACAAAGCAATCTACCAATTGGCTTCTATCTGTTACCTTATAAAACTGACAGATGAGCATTGTATTTATAGACCAATCCTAAAAGAGTCATAAAATGTAAGAAAATATATTATAATTAGGAGACTCAATTTCAACAAGATTTTGTTTTCTTATTCAACTTAGTTTCCTTGAAGCCCTTGGTTAATATTATCCTAATCCAAGTCGAATACGCTTCTTCAAAAGACTCCTATTTGAGTCATACTCCTAACTGAGGGCAACTCTTTATTTAAGGTCGATGATGTTTTTGTCCATGGTGGTTCCAATTATTACAAGGATCATTCTATTTTTGCTGGTGCACAAGTGAAGGAAGGCAACTGTCGAAAGCTTGTGGTATCAGTTGGCAAGAACACGTAAAGAAGTTGGTTAATGAGATTAGTGAGTAGTACTCAGAAAATGATAACCAAGAATCTAGGTTGTAGATATCTATTGATAATACCAACTCCTGCCTAGAGAAAATTTGCCCGATATTTTTGGTGCACCTATTTGGTGAAATAGATTCCAAGTCAGTAGGTACTACTCGATGGTGTCATAGTTTTCCTGGTGAATTTGGCCTATTTATGTGCCATTCTAGTTAGTATGCGAGCAGATTCTGGGTGTTAATTTGGTCAGTTGGGCATTAGCTCTTGAAGATTTTGTTTGAAGATTTGAAATGGTTCTTCAAGTTTATAAGTTGGTAAATTAACACGGTGGCAAGTTTTGATCTACCAGTGGAAAATTTCAAGTTATGTTAGGCTATTTTTTTACTCAATTGGGCAATAAATTCAAAATTTGAACTTTCTCAAACTGCCCTTGCAGTAATGCAGAAGGGCTATGATTACGCCCAAAGTATAACTCGGTGATTGTAGTACGGCTTTGGGGTGTCGTATCTATAGGGAGATAGAAAATTGTTTAAAGGATCAAACAAACTGGGGTTTTCGTGATTTTGTGAAGTGAGTTTTTAATTTGAAGTGGGATTTAAATATCAATATTCAAAATAGTGAAGCACTGGAATTCACTCTCTCGGATTGGATCAATCAACATTAATTATTCCTACATTTTACTCTAAAATCAAGGTTCCTATAACATATTCCTACTTTAGTCTATTGAAATCAGATTAAGAAGCATCCATATACATCAAGCATATGAAAGTAAATAATCCATCAACGACATACATGAAATTGAAACTCAATAAATATTTCGATCAAACGATAGAAAGAGTGTGACTAATTCTATGAAAAATCTAATAAGAATTGAACCAATTTCAATTACTAATTCAAAAAGGGAAACCTATATTTATTTAATTTCACTTGCAATCCTGGAATTTAGAATTCCTAACAACATATTTCGCATTTATTTATTGAAACAAGATTCAAGAAGTGACAATATATCTTAAGCATAGAGCAGTAATCAAATCACGTCAATAATTCAATTGAAATTTAAATTCAACCAATATTTTAGTCATTCAACGGAAAAAACATAATTGAATCCATGAACAATTTAATAAAAGTTAAATAAACATCAAAAGTGTAATAATAAAGATGAAATCTAAATCCCAGAGTTATTCGACAATAAAAATCACATTATATGAAAGAAAAGATATTGAAATCACCAAATCCGATTGAGATCCTTCTTGGCTTCACCAAAGATTTTAGTTCTTCATGGAGTTTCTTGTGCCAAGGATGAGCGAAAAGGGTATGAGGCTGAATGGAGGCATTCTGGGACGTTTTTGGGGTTAAAACAGTGTGCAAAACGCGTTTCCACAAGAGGTTGAACTGAATAAGGAAAGTAAATTTTCGGCCAGAATTTTCGGTGCAACTGCTTTTAGTATTTTGACCATAACTTTCTCTCCCGACATCTGATTGAGGTGATTCAAGTTTCATTGGAAATCTAACTCAAAGTACTACAATCATGATAGAAATAGATCTTTCAAATTTGGACGTTTACTAGGTCAAACGTTGATCTCATTTTTCGGCTCAAAATCTGAAAATCCTTATATCCGGTTGGAATTTTATTTGTGAAAATATTATAGGCATATTTAACTTCTTTTGACTTCTAATTGCACCAATGGACTCCTAAATTTCTCAAACCATCATTCCATCGCCCGTCTCATTTATGAATTATTTGCAACTTGATCCCTGAACTTTCACTTCTTCTCGCTTTGGTCCTTTTTCATTTGTTTCTTCCAAATTTCACTGTTTTCACCAAAATGCAACCTAAACCAAAATATAAGAGTAATGCGTGCATTTTAGCATAATATAATCACATGAATGCAATAATTAAGAGGGGAAAATATGGTATTTTACACTCTTATCAGGCTAACTATTTATGCAGTATTGTGTTGTCCAAATTGGCAAAAAACTTCAGAAATGGGCAGATGTTCTGACCGACAGACTGCATGCTTAGATATCTTTCAATATTTAAAACTTTTTTGAATATTTGGTATTCGGTCTCCAATTGTTTGTCTCATAGTTCAAATAGTTGGCCACTTCAGTTTAGTTCTTATAACTGCCAACCTGGCTGTCCAATTTTGGTTCTTTGAGAGCAAGCAGCCTGGTTTGGCATTTTGGTGCTACTTGGAGTTTGGTTTTCAGTTTCATTCGACTTTGGCCAGATTTAGATTTTGGGCAGTTCGTTTCCAGCTTTAGTTTACGTATCACTGGAATCATCAAAATTTGCTCGAAGTTCTACCTGGCTTGGTTGAATTTCTTAGGTGTTTGCAGCTTTTAGCCCTATTTGACACTGACTAAATTCAGATTTTAAATTAAGTTAAAGTTAACAATTATTTTTAACCACATATTTTATGGGTCCCACAACTTTTAAATCACACATTTCACCGACTTTTATCAAAATCTATTAAAATATGATTTTAATCCCTTACCAAACAAGGCTTAATATGGTTTTGAAGACTCACCTTCCTGACTTGCTATTTTTTACTTGATGGGGCGATAAATTCAAACTTTTTAACTTATTCAAGGATAGTGCTACTTGTATATCAAGTGGTGTTCACCCTCTCACATGGAGGGAGATCCATTTCAATGTCAGGGGAGTAGACACCGAGGTAGACACCCAACTGTATATGTAGTATTACCCTTTATTTAAACTGCCTTGCAGTAAGGCAGCTTTGTCCATTGCTTTCGCAGTATTTAGTTATCGAATTTAGCAAAAAATTCAAATTATTTTGAACATTTTTTTGTCCTTTTGCAAGTCAACCTTTGACCCCAACTTACTCGATTAAAGCTGCAATTGGGAAAGAAAGAATGCATTTGATTGAAGGTCTAACTTTCA